GATTGTCCCATTACTTTTTCACATATAAAAATATCCCAAATAACATGTCGTCGTAATCATGTGTTCTCCTTTATGGTTGTTTATTTTCAAGACAATAGTTACAAATTTTTGAGTAAATAAAAAGATTAGAGTCTAAAGTCAATCCGGGAAGTATATAATTGGATTTGATCATACAACAAACACAGGGTATGAAGAGATATTTTGGGTATGTCCATTTGGAGCTTGTAATAAAATTAGTTTTTTTTTAAGCACGTAAACTCCTTTACGCATATATATCTAGTGTAGATACTCAAATTATGTCATTTGTTATATCGTTATACACAACAGCCAAGACATTTGTTGTTATCAATAACGGAAAGAGTAAGAATAAATTACATTCTTCAATAAAAATTACTGAACATGAATATGCGTGAACTCCTTTACGTGTTTTCCTTTACTCCTGTTTGGCTTCAGAGGGGAATATATAGAGTGAATATTGCTTTTTCCGCGATGATTAGGGTAGGGTGGATCTGAAATGTATAAAAAAGTCATATATATATATATGTGTGTGTGTGTGTGCTGAATTAATAAAGAAAGAATTATGTTTCTCATTTTCGGGGGGGGCGGTGTCCCCCCCCCTCGGACTCCCATGCAAATCAACACATTTTCATATAACAGTGTGTGCATATCTTTAATTAACATTCAAATGGTGTGAGTGGTAGTAGTCTTAGGTTTAAATGACTGATAAATTACAAAGCTAAATCTATGAGCGATAATTAGGGGCCTATTTATAAAAACAGATAATTGGGGACATGGTGAGATGCATGTGAAGGAGATCACCATTTTAATTCAACTCCCTATACATGCTTTGCACGTCTTAGTATAATGTCACATTATAATAAAAGCTTACGTTCATGACCTGTGGAAGTAGTCTAATACAAAGTAACTATTCTTACTAGCCTGCTATAGCTGGATTTAGTGTAGAAATGTAAAGGAGATCACATTAATTTCTACACCTGTCTGCTAATATACAGAGGTGGTATGCATTTTGATGATGGGTTTGATATTTATATTTTTAGAATGGATGATAAACAAAGTCAGCAGCTGAAATATTATCACAGAAAAAAAAGGCAACAGAAGGGAAAAACCTTCTTA